ATTTTTATTAAGCAACAACAATCACCACCTCAATTGAGGATAAAATAGGTATTTTAAAAATACAATTGAATTTCGAATTTTGAGAAGGGATGATTTTGCTCTTTTATATTTTAAGTAATTATTTTGGGATTGTAAAAATAAGTACACTGATATTGTTTATAATTTAAACTCTTCTTATTACTAAATTTTTCGCATTAAAAGGTTTTTATCTCCTTGAAAATTAATCTCTCAATAAATCTCAAAGTCAAACAAGTTTGATCACTTCTCATCGTGTGTGCCGACCATTTCCACTTTGGCCTCTCCCATCTCTCCTCCACCCCACGCGCCTAGCCCCCCACCCCCACGCTCTTTCAACCCCCCAAAATAATTTTCCATATATATATGTACACAGCCATAGTATTGTTCAAACATGTTTGACTTGCCACAACTCTCATAAATTGCAGCTTTCCACATTCATCAAAGAAACCTCATTCTTCGTTCATTACTTTTTGCCAATCCAAGAATCTCTCTTTATTGCTTCCTTAATCCTCTTCGTTACTTCTCCCTATAAGAAGATAGACGGAATAATACCTCCAACTTTTATAAGTCGATCCATTTAAAAAATTTCGTAGCAAGAACCAAAATCTCCTTCAACAATGGCATTTACTAGTTCTTGAAATTCTTTTCTATTAACCCATAATTTTAGTTTTTAAAAGAAAAATTAAAAGCCATATTTTGTGAGATAAAAATTTTGAGCTATGAAAAAAGTGAGAGGTTTCAGGCTTGGACGGAAGCTGGTGAGAGTTTTCAGCTGGTTTATTCACAGCAGAACAAAGGGAAGAGTTGGACACAAGCGGCTGAGATCACCGGGATGTGCTAGCAGAGCCATTTCAAAGCTATGCAAATTAGGACGTATTCTGAAGCAGGGAGCAAAAGGTCTCTGCTTTGCAAGACCCAATTCGGGTTATATCCGGGTCGGGCATGATCCGGTAGAACCGAAGCAGGTGACCGTGCCAAAGGGACATTTAGCTGTGTACGTGGGTGAGAAGAAAGATGATACTTGTAGAATTGTAGTGCCTGTGATATACTTTAATCACCCTTTGTTTGCTAATTTGTTGAGGGAAGCAGAAATGATATATGGGTATAATCATTCGGGTGGGATCCAAATCCCTTGTCCAATATCCGAATTTGAGAACGTTCAATCAAGAATCGCCGCCACAGGCGGTGGTGAAAACTGCCGTGTAGAGCGGAGCTGGAGGTGCACATACTGATTTAGGCTACGGAACAACCCCCTACCTTTGACTATTTTTCGCCGACGAAAAAAGGGCACGATAGATGTGTTGGGGAGGTTTAGTTTATGTTACTTCTATACTTCAACTTGAGGGAAAACGAAAAGATTTTTTTTATAGAAAAGTTTGTAGTGATGTCAAATATTTCGGGTGTGAAGGATTTATTTGTATTAATTCATGTAAACCTTCGAGCTCAATTTTCAAATGCATATTACTCCGTTTATAGATACACATTCATAAATTGGTAGAAGCTTTTCGTACCAATAAAATAAGCAAACTCATATATTGACCGGCCCCCACTTTGAGAGCCGTTCTCCAGAGGGTATCTTCTTACTCCACTTTGCTTACGTTGAAATCTTGTATGTTAACAGCATGTGAAATTTGGACAACCAGAAAGTCTTATATGCTCTCGAAAACGATATGAAACAATGAAATGGTCATACACGGCTGGGAATTATTCATTTAACTTGGAATTCGACTTTCAACCTATTGAATACTTGAAACTGACAAATATGTTTGTTTATCCTAAAAACGGATAACAATTGAATTTATATGTGGTTTTAAGGACACGTGATTTTACTTGGTACAAACTGAAAAAATATACATATTGATATTGAAATTGACTGTAAAGAAAAATAAAAGCAAACCAAATGAGATGTGTAGCTTTGGGTCTCGAACCAAATGAAACAGCAAAGCAGGGGCGGAGCTACAATAGTGGGTGCGGGTTCGGACGAATCCAATAACTTTTTCCGGAACTCTATATTTGTATTGAAATATTTACTAAATCTATATAAATATATACTGCCGAACCCAGTAACAAAAGGGGTCTTGGTTCAATGGTAAGGGCTGTGGGTTCACTGGGAAAGATGGGGGTTCGATTTCCTCTGAAAGTAGTGTTTTATTTTAAAATTTAGAACCCACACACATAAAATCCTAGCTCCGCCTCTGAGCAAAGGAAATATAAGCAGAGTAACACAATATTGAGAACCTAGAGAAAAGAGTAGTATATTGCTTTTTTTTTTTACTGTCTTCCCTCCCTTTACAAATGATCAGACCCCCTTTATATAGTAGGGGAGTCCTACTCTTGATATAATTCTAAATGCAGTAAGGACTCCCATGATAGGCTAATTAATCGGCCTCTTCTTAATATGTGCCGTGATTTCTGCCGAGATTCTCCCCCTAATTGCGGCTATAACGACTTTTTTGTTTCTTGGCTCGATCTTGATCGATCTCTGGATCTTCGAGCTCAATCTTGGCCGACCTCGATCTTGATCGGTCTGTGGGTCTCGAGCTCGACAACATATACTTCGCATCATGGCTCGATATTACAATGATGAACCTTAGACCATCATGTTCCAATATCGATTAATCATACGAAGGGCAAAACTCGATTTTGACCGTATACAGATAGTCCCCTTGTTTCTCGGAAAGAAGATGATGAGAAACGATATGAATTTTTGGACTCCGACTTGGTAGATGATGATGTCAGCACTGAGCCCGATTATGACGTATGCAACAAACGTCTCGTCGGTCCAGTTACCAATGCATTAAATGCACGTCAGTCGTTGGTCGACCACTACCGGTTCTGAACTGTCATCACCAGGCTATAAATATTCACACTTTCATCCTCATCCAAACTTTTCACTGAAAAGATTTTTCTCTACTCTTGCATCTTCAAAACAAATCCCTTTGCTTCATACATTTTACATCGCATACAACCCTAATTCTCATTCCCTTTGTTTATTAATGGCAAAAACCTCCAAAACGGTGCCGCAAAAAAAGGCCGATTCTTCATCACGACCCGCCGGCAGCGAGGATGCGGCAGAGCCTCGCCTTGAGGAATTCGTTCCGGTAGGGTGTTCAACTGTCATCGATTTTAAGGTTGAAAAACATCCTTCGATACCTAGCCGATGTGAGCCGATCTCGAGGTACCAATGTTCAATCACCGAGAACATTCTCGATAAAGTAAAACAGGAATGCAACTGGGGCGACAAGCACGTGGTAGTCCCATCGCCTGAAGAATCAATTACTACCCACGTGGAAGGGTTCTTAAGTATTTATACTTATCCTTTCTCGTTGGGTTCATTAGACCCTGTCATCGTCGCCTTTTGCAAGAGATACCCTTGGCCAAATTCACCCTTCTTTTTGGAGAATAGTGATTTTTCTTCGATTCTTCTCAAGCAAAATCGAGGGGTGTCTTTTCACCCTCGATCACCTTATGTGCATTTATAGTCTCTGACTCTATCGAGGAGGGTTAATCAAGCTTGCTCGCCGAGCTACCAAAGCGTCATTCTCGAGTATAGACAAGACTCGTGATCGGGGTTGGATGGGCCGATTTGTTTGACTCAGAACCTTAGACCTGATCCCTGCCGATGACATTTCATATCCTGAGAAATGGAATATGAACCGTGAGTACTTATTTCCCTTCGAGCTCTTTAATTTGTGATTGCCTTTCATTTTCTTGATCCACTTTTTCTTGAGTACTTTTTCTTTCTTGTCGAACTAAGGAAGAATGTTGCCATGATACCCCCATCTAGTGATGAAGAGGTCCCTGCCCCGAAGCAGGTTAAAAAGAAGAAGAGAAAAGATGCACCGAATTTCCTGGTCTCGGAAAAGATAAAACCGGCGAAGAAATCTCGCAACCCCAAGGGGGCTCCGGTATCATGCCTCCGGATTCGATCCGCCGATTAAGGGATGAGCACGAATAAGGAGAAGAGTAATTAGCATATGTACGGGCTAATGTTGTGATACAATAATCCTCTGAATCGGCGGAGGTAGATAAGGGAACTATGGCCAAAATTCCTGAACAAGGAAAAGCCAAGATTATCTCATCTCGAGCTAAGATCGTTGCAGGGGAGACCGGGGGCAAGACTTCTCGAGAAGCAGAAGATATCTCGAGGGACAAGCTCGGGTTAATCGACATTAGTAGATCCCCTCAGATTTCGGATACTATGATTCGTGAGGCCAACATGTTGGAAGGTCGATCTTACGAGGGTATTCAGGAGTCGACTGACATCCACGGCTTTCTGGATGGGCTCGAGTCAGCTGCCTCGGAGGAGATTATTGGGTTCGGCAGATTACCGGTGCCGAAAAAAGCATTATGGTCGGGCTCTACCGGGTCTTTATCGGTTCCAAAATTGGTGGACCGATTCTCGGCCCCGAGTGTTAATCCTAATCGTAAGTGAAAGATAGTGCTCTCCATCCCAGAGGATGCCCGAATTTGCTCTCCCCCTATAGGGATTGCTAGTTACCTTCGGTCCTTAGTGACCGAAGAGGATCAAACCGTGATGAATGCGGTAGGACCCGCTTGCCTTTTCAACGAGGCTCATCATGCTCTGAATCGGGTAACTTTGATGGTATCTCTGTCGTTTATTTTACACTTAGATTTGTAGATAATTCTAACATCTTTTTCCATATTTGTAGGCTTCGGTGTTGCATCACGAGGCTTTCCTCTGAATCCGGAAGGAGCATGGGGCCGAAGTTCAGAACCTCACTGAGAAGTGTGACTCCTACAAACTTCTTAATAAGAAGCTTCGGGCAGATTTGGCAACGGCTCGAGATGAGCACAAGGAAATAGCTGAGCAGGCATTCCGAATTCTTCAAGATAGTGAAGATGAATTCAAGATAACCACTAACGATCCAATTCTACAGGTTCGACAGAGGCTTGAACAGATTGGACGGCTCAATTCGTAGGTAGATGAGCTACTGGCCGAGGCGGAAAAATTCAAAGAAAATATGGACGTCCTTGCCTCGAAAAAGGAGGTCGTCCAAGCGCAATTGGAGTTGGCTGAGACCCAGCTTCGGGTTGCAGAAGAAAATGCCTAGGTGCAGATTGAGAAGATTAAGGAGCTTCAGCATCGATTGGATTTGGCCACTTCTGATAAGACAGGCTTGGAGGATGAACTCGAAGTGGCCAGATCTGAGGTGGCCTAGGCCAATAAAAGAGCTGATGCTAATGTGGCCCAGTTCAGGATCGATGTTGAGGTCAACCAGGCCAAGGCCAAGAGCATGGTCGAACACACTAAATGGAAGGCTCGGAGGGAAGCTCTCGAGGAGGTCAGTGCTCAGGGCTTCGATGTTGCTGCCGAAATTGAAAATGCCAAGGCGGAGGAAACCAGAGCCCGAAGGCTAGCCTTCCCTAAGGAAGACTCCGAGAGCTCGAGTAAATCTGAGGACAGGAAAAATACCGAGGACGCAGCCTCCGATGAAGACCAAGCCACTTAGGATATTAAGTTTCTTGTTTTTCTTTTGTATCTTTTCTGGGGTCGATTTGGCCTTTTGTTAAAAACTTTTGAATATATATATATAAGGCTTTTCTTACTTTTTTTATTCTTTTGTTTTTCCTTTGCTTTTCTGTATTTTACGAAGGTCGAAAATGCCTTAGCATAAAATTGTGTCCGAGGTTTAGACAATTTGATTGGAATCGAACTAGTATAGCCCTTAGTTTTTTCGAACGAGTGAGTGCTTGCTGGAATTCGAAGTAATGTAGCCCTTGGGATTTTATAAGAAATGTTGTTTATGGCTTTCTCTCCTTTTCGGCTTGGAAAAGTTTTTTATCATTTGTATATGCAAAACACTCGTAATGCCTTGGCTCGAAATATGGAATCTTTCAAGAGTTCGAACAATTTTGTACTCATTAGAGTTTACGAGGCTTGATATTATCGAAGCCTTTTATGATTTTGCCGGGGCAGCCTTTTTTAACCGGTTTATGAAAGAATTTGAAGGCTTGTTTTGTCACGAAATTCGGACGTCTCTGATCTGTGTTAGTTCGGCTGTAGCCTCTTTAGTTCGAGATTTGCCTCTTGGACTTATTTTCCCATTTTACTTTGAGCTTGCCCGAAAAGTCAGTCCCCGAGTGGATTGGTCGTGGCCTATAAATATCGAGGGTTGCCTAAAAGGTCTTATTATCTCGGAGTTTTAATAATTCGATCTCGTTTAGTTTTTGGACGGCAGTCCCCGAGCGTGGGGGTAATTATCCGAACTATGGTTACAATCGACCTTTAAGCATGTTTACATAATAGGTCGAAAGTATGGAATTGTAATGAAAAATACTCCTCTTTATAAATAATTATACATGCGTACATGTTCTGTGCCAAGGCTCGAGCAAACTATTCGGGCACGGTTCGTTTACCGTTTGGCGCTTACAAATTTTTCCTATAGAGACCCTTCTTCCATGAAGTAACTTCCTCGCATTAATGTTGACATTCTAGGGCAATGCCCCCCAGTG